CACGCCCGCACACCCACACAAACGTGCACGTAGCTGCGCATACCCATGCGTGCTCTGCCAGACCCAAACGCACCCACCGTCTCCCAGCGAAAATCAAAGAAGGGAGAAAAGCTGAAACAGATAATAGATCTCCATCCTCCCTCTGGTTCTTGAACCCCTTCCCTTCCACGCGATTCGCACAATGCCACTTTTACCCTCCCTCCTCGTTCTCATGCTCACATGAGATAAGCAGCCGAGCCCGATCAGGAAAACAATGGTGGGGTAGGCCAAGCAGGCCCACCATGCTAGATACGACTGAAGTTGAATGGCAAAAGTTTGACTGCTCCCGTGACAGCCGAGCTCGCATAGCCCACAGGATCCGACCACGACCTCATATATTCCTTCGCTCCCATCATGTGTTTACCCGGACACTGCTAACTAATTAGGTAATCATTTCATTACTAACTGTATAACTAACTACCGCAACATCATGTACTATTTTTCATGATCCGACTCATCTTTAGCTTTTATGCTACGCCAGATGTTGCGGATTGCGTCCACCACTTCTCCCATCGTTGGTCGCATGACATCGCGTTCATGGGCAGAGTCCAACCCCAGTCGAAGCATCTCCATCGCCATCTGCCTCTCTGCAGCAGTCAAGACCCACCGATCTTTCAAGCAGGGGTCAAGGATTGCGTCTGGCATGCCAGGACCGAACAGACTGCCGCTCTGCTGCTCGACGAAGCGCCTCACCCACTCGACAAGTGGCACCCATCCCACGCCAGAAGAAGTCTTAGTGACCACCTTCCTCCCCATCAGCAGCTCGAGGATCATCACGCCGAAGGCGACCACGTCATTCTTCTCGGAGAGCCTTCCATCAAGCATGTACTCTGGCGCCATGTATCCGAAAGTGCCGGCGATGTGCGAAGTCTGCACGTGCTGTTGATGAGACGTTCCAAAAATTTCGCTTCCTATTTTGGCGAGGCCGAAATCTGCCAAGACGGCATGCAGCTTCCCGTTGGGATCATCTTCAATCAGGACATTGCTGCTCTTGATGTCCCGATGAATGACCGGCGGGCCAGGACCTTCGTGGAGGTACCTCAGCCCCTCCGCAATCTGCAGCGCAAGCAGCGTGCGGTCCATTAGGCTAAAAGGAGGAGGCGTCGGTTGTCCAGGGATGGCGTTCTCTCTCTTGTGCAATCTCGCGTGAAGGCTGCCGCCCGCTACGTGGGGGTAGACCAAGATCGTTCGGTTCTTCTCCTCACAATATCTTTGAGACGGATTAGCTTATGGTGATTAAGCATGCTGAGCGTGTTGACTTCCACGCGAAACTGTTTCCTCTTGATGGCCGTTAGATCGCCTGTCATCACCTTGAGCGCCACCTGTGTCCCCTCAAGGACTCCGTGATAGACTTGCCCGGACGCGCCTGCATCACCCACCAGCCGCCTGTCGTCGAAATTGCCGCAACACCGGGAGAGCTCCTTCAGACTGAATCGGACGACCTGAGTTGGCTGCAGATCGCGGTCGTCTTTAGATCGGGATTCCAGCAAGGATGCTCCAGACGGCTGAGTCCCGGTCCCGTCCGTCGTCAAGGAAACGGAGGAGCTTCGCCGTTGATGTTGATCGCCGACAGGTGGGCGAGATCTGCGTTCTTGTCTGCAGTAGAGCGCCAGTACCACGCCAAAGATGGCAGCCGAAATGACAACACCCCCGAGGGGAAGGCCGATCACAAGCGGGAAGATTGTGTGCCAAGCCAGAGGAGGACGACTGATTATCGTCAGATGCAGGATGGACCACAGGGATTGACGAAGCTGCGAGAGAGAGTATCGCCAATTCAGAAGCGGTAGGGGACAAAGTCGGGGGGGTGTGGCGAAGGAAAGGAGGTGGAGGAGGAAGGAGGAGGAGGAGGAGAAGAAGAAGGAGAAGGAGAGACGCAGGTGTGTAGATGGGATTCTTGGATTTCCAGCTCGAACATGCGACCATCAACACTCCCTACGTAAAGAAATAATCGACCGGCGTACCTGTGCAGAGCCAAGCCCCACAGACGAGCGCTGTTGTGCCTCGCTACCGTCTCCACCATCCCTCCGGCCTGGCATGTAGCGTTCAGCTTTATCCAGCGCACATAGCCTTCCAGCTCCGTGACGAAGATGTTGCACCAGTCGGGCGTAACCACCATCTCTCGAAGATCGGAGAAGGAGGCGTTGAAGGCCGGTCCATCCCTTACGGGATCGCTTCCAGGACCTCCAGCGATGTGTGTAATTAGGCCGGAGGCCGATCTGGTGTCGATGGCGTAGATCTGGCCACGTGTCTCCTCACGGAAGTAGAGACAACTTCCGTCCGACACGAAGCACTGGCGGCTTATGTAAATCTGGCCCGGACTGTCGGATCCCGACGATAACAGAAACGTCTTGACGATGGTCAGCGCTGACGTGTCGACCGGCATGCCATCGTCGTCAACGGGGATGGAAAGAAGGCGCGGCGATTTCTGGTTGTCTATCATGAACATTCTCGGTTTTTGTCGGGTTGTACCACAGATAAAAGAGGTGGTCACTAGCAGGTAAGAGGGTGGAGTTCCGTCTTCCATCGCCGACGGACAGGAAGGTTAATCGCGATGGCTCGGGGAGGTGGCCGGGAGCTCTCCGGACGGTGGGGAGGACAAGACAGGATCCCGATCCGGTGATCTCCATGCCGTACACGAGCGCCAGATCTGTAGCGTTGTCTGAAGCGTTGAAGAGTACGCGCGTGGGGATCCCGATCCCGTCCGGACTATCGAAAGGAACGGAAAGAAACGGAGAGGAACGGAGAGTAACGGAACGGCACGGCATCAACCTCCACATCGATCGGCTACTGCAAAATACGAAACGAAACGGAACGGCATCAACCTCTACATGGATCGGCTACTGCCACATACTAAAGGGAACGGAACAGAACGGAAAGGTATCAACCTCGACACTCAGGACCAGCAAAACGACAAAATACTTGGTCAACCATTACCCAAGGAGGAGTCAACCTCGACAGCAAGGAGGGAGAGTACAGAGAGGAGGAGGGAAGAGATGGCGGCAACGGTACAGGGGAATCTGGGGATCACAATAATACCGGCGCCGGGAGACGGAAGTTGCGACAAACACGCTCTCAGATGATTCTACCCGGCGTTGAAATTCATGAATGCTTTGACGGTGGCGGCGGCGGCGGCGGCGTGAATACTTTGGCGCTCATTTTCGATCAACATGAAACTGATTCTTGGATCGTGTGTGTGATTCGCTGATTAGCGTAACGGAAGATGAATGGTGCCATTCCGGCGGGGAGAGGTCGCAAAGTTCGGAGAATGGCGCCAGCAGCCCGCCTCTGGCGGCCCGAGCTGAAGTGGCGGTAGCAGCGGAGGTCGCAGTGGCGGTTGCGCTCGGGGTCGCAGGGGCGGTCGCACAGGAATTCGTTCAGGCGGGGGCTGTCGCGAAAAGAAATTCTGGACCAATGAGAGACTACCGTCTTCCCTCGAAAAGAACGAATGGTCTGTATGCGTGTATTTTCTGACCCCGCGTGGATGCCCTGTGCAACTTTGTCCCGGGAAAAGTTATTAAATACCCCCGCTGTGAAACCTGTGTATTTCAACTCGTTGCATCCGTAATGGGCCAAAAAGTCAAGGATTTTTGTTCGCCCTCAGGCCCCTGAAAGGAACCTGCACGTTATATTTTTTGCACCCCTGCTGGGCCTCTAACGGGGCAGTGCAAAAATGGCGGGAAAATCATTTTCACGCCATGCCGGGATATCGAAAAATGACGCCCAGAGGTCCCGTTTGGGGTGGAAACGGTGGAGCGAAATACGACGAAGGGTTAGGAGGGGGGGTAGTTACAGTAATAACTCTTCCCAAAAGCCCCTAGTGCTAGTAGGCGTACTCATCTGCTTCCAGCAGGGTTTGCACGCAGGTCTCCTGGCAGTCCCCAGTCCCAAACGCCGCAAACGGTACACTCGATCTGCGATTTTTCGTTTTTCTTGGGCTTCAGGCCTCCGACCAACCCAGGCGTCTGGAGATCAAGATCGGTTTGCTAGATTTTGGTGCCATTTCTTATCCTTTAAGGGACGTGAGGGCCGGCATCAGGAGCTGAGGGCTTGCGTCTAGAGATTCCTTATCCTACAAGCGAGGGGAGGGATGGCGTCAGGAGCTGCCCGCTGGCGTCTAGAGGATCGTAGAGCTCAATTGTTAAATTTCGGTGCAAGCTCTCAGAACGACTCTCTGAGAATTTCCTTCCCAGCCGGTCATAGCGCACTCGTCAAAACCCTGGTGGACCATCCATAGAAAGTCCGCCAATGTCCTGCAGTCTGCAGCTACATGTTGACCACACCTAGTTGCAATCAGCATGCTCGACCTGCCGGGGAGAGAGAGAGAGAGAAAGAGAGAGAGAGAGAGAGAGAGAGAGAGAGAGAGAGAGAGAGAGAGAGAGAGAGAGAGAGAGAGAGAGAGAGA